ACACACACTCACAACCCCCCCTCCCCACCCCGACTGTAAGCCGACTAACTACACTAATAAGATTTTCTCGCTTCTATGATTCTCTGGCTTCGGCGCAGAACTCTTTCTTCTGGTGTTTTTTAGCCAAGCTTTCTTCCATTTCTCCTATACATGTTTACACCATTACAACAATTTGTTTGGTAATTACTGGTTGCCTAACGCGTGTGGGTATGTTTGATTCATCTCTGTTGTCTCTATCTCAATAATTCCCCTATCGATGCGTCTGCCATAATTCACACAGGCTCTTTGCATCTGATACGGTCTGTTAGTGCTGATGTTGTGGCATTTCTTTGAGATAATTTAACAATTGAATGACGGACGTTTACAAAGGATATACATAATGCACGGCAAATTAAGTTTTATCTAACACTCTTTATACATTTTCCACGACACACAGGCTCAGTGTTGGCCTCACATTTGATGAACTGTGATCCGTAAATAATTACTACAAGATAAATAATTCTAGAACACAAAGTAACCTTACCTATCGCGGAGGGAGAATATGACAATCAAAATAATGTTATTTGAATTGATATTATTTTCTTTATCATCTTTTTATCTGTGTTCTTGGGATCTTTAGAAACGAAGCTTAACAAAGAAGTGCTTCATGACTAACACAAGACTTGTAGGCCATAATTCATATTATTCTTTTGACTCTATGACTTTAAAAAACCTTTATAAACTTTTATTTCTTGGTCTTAACGAGTCTAGTAAATTATACATAAAACTGAAAAACTTGCAGAGAGAAGATGACGCCTATGCAAATTGCAAATAATGTACTGTGAACAGGAAAACGGTTTTTACAATCACGTCCCCAGAAGACCAAAGCTGATTACATTACGTTATTCCTTTTTGTTAATGATTGTACATTCTTCTTTCATCGTCCAGAAAATATAGTCTAATTGAAGTGTTTGTGCGCATTCACAAAACTATTAATACAAAACGAAGTTTCAGCTCAACCTTACTTTACCGACCATGTTGTGTATCCGTTCTGGTTCAGTTGGCCGTCGCCTGGGCCACAGCTACCACAGCCGGTGCCAACCCAAGAGAAAGAAACCGAGGACGTCCTTCACCAGGCTACAGATTATAGAACTGGAGAAACGATTCCACAGGTACCATAGCCAGGATATGGTTTTTTGGACTGCGACAGAAACATAGTAAGAATTAGCCATGACAGAAGCTACAGGAAGACAACCTTGAGACCATCTTAAGCTAAATTGACTGTCTGCACAGACAAAAAGAGCCACACAGTTACTTCACAGACGGTCGGGGTTTAAATCTTATTACGAGCGTTCTGGGGCCAAGACTGCTATGGGGATCTGTGAAGTTCTCTTAAATATCCCATAAAAGATGGACTGGGAATCTGACTATGAATTCATTCAAAATGTCGCTGAGTAGCGTGGTCTCACCTTAGGGTATAAGACGTGACGGAACGGCGCGAGCTTTGAACAATCATGGGATTTCGTTACATTGATGTCGCAAGTCCATATGAGTAACATAAAAACCAAATTTCAAACCTCCCCTCCCCACCCTCTCTTTCTC